TTTGACTTTGTATTGATTCATTGGTTCATGAATGCATTACTCTTCCCGTTATATGATTGGCATGTTTGTTATATTTCGGTATCCTTGAATCATTACAGAATGATTCTAAACTCCCTAGTCAGTCATCATTGTGGGAACAATGTTGAATGAAGACTAGCATGAGGTGTGATCAACGCGTTGGATGTAGATCACAATCATGGGTACTCGTTGTGAACGAGTGACTGGATGACCCCCATGAGATTGTCACATGGACAGAGTCATGACTTGAATCTCATACAGCGGTTCGTTCTTGGATCCTCAGACCTGAGATGTCTAGAGTATCTGATATGAGGAGTGACGTGTCTTGACTGCGTCAAACGTCGTCTTTAACCGGATGATCATAACGGCGTTACTCAGATACATTCACGAATCATATGCAGATAGTAGACATGCAATACAGGACTTGTCACCTCCTACGCAGGAGAGATGTCGCTGGACCCCTCGTAGAAATCGAACTGTGAAAATGCGTGGCCACGCTATAGATGAATGTACATCTATTTTATCAGTCGGTTTGCCTAGACGAGTAAGCGGTTGAACTTGAAGGGTGGCTCATATCATGCCCTTGTTCAACATACGACATCGTGAGACAAAGGATCAGAACTCGAACTATGAATGGCTTTGTTAGATCACCTCTAACTTTATTCTAGGTGGGTGGTCATTGCGTCTTGCTAGAGGCTAACCATGACTTGTGGTTCGGGAAAGGGTTTCCGAACACTTCGAATGGGCCTACAGGGTCACACACCATTAGGGATGGAACACACTTGAAGAGAATGACGCGAGAAAGGAACCACGGAACGAGCTGGAAGTGTTCCAGACGGCCAGACCGTCCGGTCAGGGTTTCCGAACACTTCGAATGGGCCTACAGGGTCACACACCATTAGGGATGGAACACACTTGAAGAGAATGACGCGAGAAAGGAACCACGGAACGAGCTGGAAGTGTTCCAGACGGCCAGACCGTCCGGTCCAGGCCTGGACCCGGCGGGCCCGGCAGCCATGTCAGTCCGTCCGTTCCGCTGAAGAACGAACTGATCGTTCTGCAAGCACCAGACCGTTCAGTCCAGACGTACAGACCGTCCGTTCTATGTGTAGTTACGGTCCGTCCGTTCTGCGTTGAAAGCCAGACCGTCCGGTCCAAGACCTAGACCGGACGGTCCGACTTTCGGGCAGATTTCCTGTTTCGCGTTTTAACGGTTTTGGGCAATTCTAATTAATGGGAGAGCCGCCACAAACCCTAGAAAAAAAAACCTCAGACGTCCAAGACACTCATTAGAGCTTAGAGAAGCTTGATTTTGAGTTCTAGTGATTGAAATATCGATTCCAAGTCAAGGACATCGTTTTCTCTTCACAAATCCTAGCAGATACGTTCCAAAGTGTTGGAATTCATCCCGCCAGTGTGGATACGTGTAGAGGAGTTGTGCTTTCAACTCTTGGTGATTAAAACACGCCCTGGATCGATTGATACTTCCAGATCTTGAAAGAACGAGGTAAGTATTCGAGTTCCACGACGATATACACGATTGTTTGGGTTATTGCACAACTGGTTTTGTGTGACGTTTGGCTAGGTTTAGATCTTTCCTTCCGCTGCGTGAAACCTAGGCTCCA